GAAGAAAAAGAAAGAAGAGATAATATAAAACTTGAATTGAAATGATAATAATACCGCACAATGAAAAGCCACGTTGAACCCACTACAGAAGCATGAGTTGACACAATCCAACTTCAATTCATGCAATTTAAAGAGCATAAAATGATCATAAGGAATATTTGAAGATGTAAGGGCGTGGAGGATATAAAAATTTCAGCTTCAAAATGTTTTTTTTATTAATTAGAATTAATTTAAAAAAATGAGACGTGGTTAGTTGTTAGTGGGATTTTTTAGTTTATATTAAAATAATATTTAGTTAAAAAATAATTAATTTGACGTAAAAGTATGAGAGAGATGATGTGAAATGATGATTAATTAAAATTATGTGAGTTGATGTATAGTGAATTAAATTTAGTGTGATATGTAAGACAATTGATTTATATTATTTAATTATATTAATAACATTAAGGATTGTAGAATTTAGTTAAAGTTGATTCAGATTTTAAATTGTATTGAATATGAAATGAATTTTTTTATATCCAAGCAAGTGTACTCGACAAGTTCCCTTTTCTTAGAAAACTTTAACACCGCATGAAAATTAGAAGTTGTTTTCAATCTTATCGTGCTTGCATCGTTATTATGTCGCGATCTGAAAAGAATATAAAAATTCCGTATATCGTGTTCATGTTCATGTCGATTAGTCAAATAACAATTCATTATTAGTCTATCTTAAGTAGCTAGATGTGATTATATGTATGCTTTTAAATTTGGATTTTTCAATGTATCAACTACTAATTAATTACCATCTATTAATTCTCAATCATCTTATTAACTATCTCTTGGCATTTTAATTAATTGTTAATTAGATTATTAGTTTTTCTTACACACACATATAGTTGGGTAAATTTCAGCATCAAAATTTTTCAATACAAATGCTTCAATTGGATGTGTTATATTTTGCTCTTCAAGCCAAATAGTAAATGTGCCTTTATTGAACCATCATTCTATCACAAGATTTCAGTCCCTGAAAAGAGTTCAGAAAGTTTTATACGATCCGTGTGAAAAAAGTTGGAATATTTTAAGTTCAGCTTTTTAAGAAGAAATTTGTGCCATTGATATGAGCTGTTTAGTAGTGTACTTAAAAGTCAATGCAGAACTTTTAGACGATTACACATCTTCGATCAGGTCGCAACTTTTTGAGTAATTAGTGCGTGATTTGTTTAATTAACTACCAATTAAATATTATGAAATTAAAAATGAACTAGTATTCAATTTTTCGCTCATACACAAATGAAAATAAAAATATATGTTATACGTATGTATGTAATATTTAAATTCATAAATTAGGTAATGATGAGTATAAATTTTATTTACTAAAGAATGATATAAATATAAACTAGTTAATTTGGATATTAATCTTTACAAAATTTACAAATTGGGAGTACTTAACATTGTTTTTAAATATATCATTTACTCAAAAGATATTTATATTTATTTAAAACTATACATTAATTTCATTAAACAGAGTGACCCCAAACTTGATCTAATTGGTTAGCTCCATTGGGGGACCAATCAATATAGGGACTTGGTGCTTTTTTCAAAAAAATTTCCTCTTATCTTATTCTTTTCACTTTCCATTTTTTTCCTTTTTCTTTTTACCATTTATTTTCCCACTATAACATTGAATTGAACAATACTTTCTACTTAATGCAGATGTAAAATTGAAAGCTCATTCCACCACTAGCGAATATAAATCCTTTCTATAAAGTTTGATGATATTTGACTATCCTTTATAAATAGAATGCATAATATCAACATCTACACGTTTTTGTCCTATCTTGCATGTAAATAAATAAATAAATAAATAAACATAATATTTCTTTTGAACGCAGAAAGCTACGTATTATTTCACATAAGAGTACACTTAGAATACCAAAGGGAATAAAATAAATATATATTTTGTACATGTCCATTGCTATAACGTGATTGGATGTGGACTTTAACAACCCCAATCCAATTGTAGTGATCAAAAGTGAGACAAAGAGTTAACTCAATGTCTAATCCACATTTTAAAATTGCGGTTTGGAGATGATAATTATTTTTAGTTAAGACACTTAAATTAAATTAATGGTGGGGTTGATAAATTTCACTCGTTTCTACCTAGTTGATGTGATTGGCAAACTATTTTTTCACACTTTCACCTAGTGCTGGTACAAAATTAATTGAAGTAAATAAGGGGATGCATGTTTATGAAATAATTCATTCAAAATGAGTTATTTCAGTTAACTTTTATTAAATTTTGAAAAATGTGGTATGGTTAGTTAGTGGAATTTTAAAAATGTATTAAAATAATATTTAAAATAAAATGACTAAAATTAATTTGATTAAAAGTATGAGATAAATGATTGGAAATTATAAGTAGTTAAAATTATATGAGTAGATGAATAGTGAATTAAAATTGACGTGATGTGTAAGAATGATTGGTTTATATTATTTAATTATATAAATAATAATAACGATAGTATAATTGAGTTAAAGTTGAGTTAAAATTTTAAATATAAATAAAATGTGAGTAAAATATTTTATAAACAAATACGCCCTAAAGATGTAAATTAAATCAGGTGTAGCAGGGTCTTCAGCATGTCCAATCAAATCAATTTTTAATTATTATTATATTTTTTTTAATTTCTCTCTTTGTTTCAATTTTTTTTTTTTTTGGGGGATTTTCGATCGTGAGATAATATTTAACCTAGAAAAAAATAGATCAAACTAAGTCTTATATAGCCTTTTGGCCAAACCTGGTCTTCTAATCCATGGCGACTTTTAATTTTCAACAAAGCAAAAGAAAAATGTGCACCATATTCACACATTAATGCGAATCTACAACATAAATAAAGTCATACTAAAATTTTTGATTGACAAAGACCTAAGTCTAAGTGTGGATAATTAAATTCTCAACGAAATAATTATTAGACCTTTTTTTATTTTTTTAATTAGAGAAAGCAAATGTGGGTCTATTTAGGGTATGGCAATTATGAATTCCAATTTGCCTAAATAATAATTATTAAGGCTCGTTAATTAAAAAGGAAAAAAAAAAAGATATATTGACGTGCGATGGTGATATTCAGGGCATGTTGGTATACAAATTTTTTTACTCAAAGTGGATTTTATTTGTTAACTAAAGTTAATTTAGAAATAGATGATATGGTTAGTTGTTAGTTGAAGTTTTGAATTTAAATTAAACTAATATTTAAAATAAAATAACTAAAGTTGATTTGATGTAAAAATAGGAAAGATGTGATATAAAGTGATGGTTAGTTAAAATTATGTGTATGGATGAATAATGAATTAAAGTAGATGTGATATGTAAGAATGTTTGGTTTGTATTTTTTAATTATATAAATAAAAAAAGGAAGAATAGCAAATGTTATCTTGCTAAGAGAAACTATGAGAAACTAGTGTAGATTTCACCTTATCCCGAGTTTCAATCGGTAAATTGACAGACATCTGTATAGATATGTGTGTTTGTCTGTGATCTGATAGTTTAAAAACTCATCCTCACTTGTAGTGTCGAATTCTCCAACGAACTACATATCTTTATTCATTTTACATATCATAATAATTAACTACTCAAGATAAATTATTTAGAAACTTCATGTCGCCATGAGTTTCAAACAAAGTCACTTATAAGATGAACTAATGAATGTGGGGAAACATGTCTCCTCAGAATATGCATGTACCCATGTAAATTATTTTTCAACAAATAAGGAAAATAAAATAAAATAAAATGATCATTTGTCTTTTATTTTTATTTTTTTTCTAACTTTTACACTTAAATAATCAATAATTGAGGCTTGGGTGAGACAATGAAAGGTAAAGTGATGAAGTTCGACTTCACATTTATGGTTTGCCAACTTGGTGTAGTTGGCTTTATTTAGTGGGTAAACTTATGTCTCCCTTGGACTTACCATATATAGTAACTTTTATTTTTTGTTTTTTCGAATTGATTAGTGGGAATTCCTATTGCATTTATCCCTACCCTTCAATCGAATACAATGCAACTTGTTTTATTCTAAACAAGAAATAGTGCCTTGAACATTACATTAGCATTTTTCCCCAGAAAAACTTAAATAAATCAAATAATATTCATTATAAGAGAATACCTATTATATATACTAGTGGGCTCTCGGCTGTGCGTCCCGAGTTCAATCTACAATTATGAAATATTATGAAATATTGATTGTTCTTTTGTTTATATTTTTACACTGAGGGGTAACAGTATAAAAATTGTTCAAAGTCAAGGGCATTTATGTCCGAAGAAAAACGCCACGTGTAATGAGGCATATAACCCCTCACACTTTTTCTTATAGATATAATTTATATGTGTAAGAGAAGAAATAATAATTTTCTTCATATGTGTTCCATAGTTTTGCAAGGAAAAAAAAGAAAAAAATACTTTAAATTAATAAAAGTTGTTATTGGTTCTTCACCTGTATAAAAAATAATTAAGTTGAGAGAAATGTACATATCATCGAGTGGGAATTTATTCATCAGTGTAAATCTACCTATTGGGCCTGTTATTTGGATGAGTATAATGGTCTAATGGGCTATATCAACCCTGTAGGTTCGCCAAGGTTTTTGAACTGTTTTTGTAATGAAATAGACATGGGGCCGAAATTTTTGGTGTGTTATTCGACCTTAATTGGATCGGGCCTAACATTTTTGGCGAATTTACATACTTATATCATGTCTACTCATCTTAATTTTATTATCATACTAGTTTATATAGAGCATGTTATCATCAAATATATGGTTTCTCTATTACTTCCATTAATCTCGCTATCATCCTCTCAACCCCGTAACAAATGCCATTTGAATAAAAAAATTACAAAAAATCATTGCAAAAATATAAGACACAATGTTGATTTTTCAAATCAAACTGCTTTATCTTCCCATTCTTCTCTGCATGGTCCCGCTCGGCTCTCAGTTGAGAATTAAATTTTTGGGGTGACAACTTAGATTCGTGGCTCGACGCACGATGGCGACGACTAGCAGGTTGAGACTCGACTATATGATGAAGGTAATTTTAATTGCGTAAATTTATTTTATTTCTCGTGATTTTCTTATCTCACTGATGATTTTGGATGTCCAGACATGTAAAAAAAAATTCTAAATTACGTTAAGTGATGGATGGCTCCATAAAAAAATCATCCGATGGCTCCATAGAATTTTTGCTCGATCCAATACCTGTTTGATCAGTGCACTACCTAACGAAAAATGTCCAAATCCAAAAAAGTGTAATAACGATATGTCCAAAAATGAATAAAATTGAATAATAAAAATGTTCTTTATTAATAATAGTATTCATTAAACATGATGTTATATATGTCAGATAAATCTTGTTGATAATAGTATTCATTAAACATGATGTTAGATATGTTAGATAAATCTTGTTCTAAGTGGTCGTATCTCACTGTAAGCAGAAATTCAAATAGGTATTCATATCTGATTTGAGGTATTTTTTGTGTTTAAGTAAAGTATATATTGCATATACTGCAACAATGCATAATAGTTGTATAAGTTTACTTCAATAAATGATTACGTATGCTAAATGTTTACGCAATTTTGAAACACTGTAGTATTCTTACAAGAAATGTTGCCTACTCGTAAACACTGTAATTTTCTTATCTTAATATGCTAGAACAGGGCCGTCTCCAACATTTTTTGGGCCCAGAGCGAAAAATAAAATTAGGCCCCCCTAATTACAATATTAAATAATATATTTTTAATATTTTATTAATAACAACTTCCACTTCTCAAGTAGGAAAGAACTTCCCCCGGATAGACAAAACACAAAAGACTCTTTCTATATATTATTATATTTTTTATTTATATTATTATATATATAATATTTTAATATCTATATAATGGGCCCCAATTAATTGGGGGCCCTGTGCAGTTGCTCACCTTGCTCCCCCCAAAAGCCGGCTCTGTGCTAGAATCAAATCACGTTCTAGAATAAATTGTTTACCCCAAAATGTGGTTGGCATGGAAATTTCAGAAAACACGACTTGTTCCACCATTTGGTCCCATTCCAGTTCAACTCTACTCATTTATTTTAAGAGACAAAAAGGGGGAAAATTGACGGTACTAAAAATATCACACAATAAATCAAAGAGTTGAACTGAAATAAAACCAATAACCAATTTGTATATTGAAATTTTGAAGAAGTGTTGATTGCTCAACAAATATAAATTTTGAGTAAGTACGCAATTTTATCANGTTATTCAAGATTTTAAAATATGTCGTTCGGCATCAAATCAAATTAGATTATACCCTATAAAACTAGGTCGAGCTGGCGTCCTCGAATCTCACATGAATAACTTGACTGTTAACAGGCCATCACGTTTTGATATCAATGAATGCCGAACATTTTTGTCACCCTAATCACAAATCTTTACCATCAAGAATCGTTTTTAGCCGGACGAGCAGACTCGGGTCAAATCCCAAGGCAATGAGGCATATGCATGTGTTGAGGATATTTTTCTTTCTCTTTATAGAAAGAACAGATGCTATTCACTAAATCTTCATTTTCATAATCTTTGCCGAAAAGAAGTCTAGTCGTGTGGTCTCGAGGTTCACAAATCACACCAATGTTCGCTTCACCAAAACGAACAAAATCAACGAGTACTACACAATAGCCAAATACATTGATAACCCATTGTCTTCTACATTTGGCAGATTAAAGGGAATAGGCAATAAGACCAAAGCGGATGTTGCAGTAAACTCTCAAATCATTAAAACAAGCACCCATAAAAGCCGCGATTTTCTTAAGAAATCAGATCCTTAAAATACCATGTGTACAGAGAACTTCATCCCACTGGGGCTCCCTGCCACTTTATATGCTACTAATTATTGGAGTTCTATGACGAACTGAGTATATACAACAAGACGACATCGTAATATAACACAGCTTAAAAGAGAAACTCTTATCATCCGCCACTCACCTCCTCTAGTCGAGATTCACGAGCTTAAAATGTTGCAATTATTGGTATCGTCATATATATATGGCCACTGAAGAATGTTACCAGCATCAGATAAGAAACTGATAGAAGCTCAACCACATCACACATCTGGATAAATGTTCTCCTGAGATTCTGTCCCCGAACTTCCTATAAATCCAGAAACGAAAAAAGAAAAAAAAAAAAGAAAACAGGCCATCGGCAAACTCAGAATCTCCTTCTTTTCCCTCTACCATCAGAAAACCCATCATCATGCCAATCCCTCTCGATTGACCTGTAATTCCCATCCTCGTGTTCCTCGACATTCCTAATCCTCCTCGACATACTCAAAGACTGATGATGATGATGATGATGATTCTTCACACGCCCGTCAAACTCCCTATCTCTCATCCCACCACCTCTCTCCACAAACTCTCCATCCGAATCCGAACAGAATCTGTAAGGCCTGTTGTGGTGTTCCTCGTTCGGATGAAATTGGAAATTCTCCCCATTCCCATTATTATTATAACCTGTTCGGAACGAACGCCTCTCGTTGAACTCATCACAATCTCCCATCATCTCCCTAGAATCCATACCGTCCGTTCTCCGACCACTCCTCGGGAAAGCCCGTTCAGGTGAACCTCTCCTATTCTGAAAGGGGGACCCGCGCCTCCTATGAACAATCTCGTCACGAAAAAAGGGAGACCTCATTCTCCTATTTAGGTAAAAAACTGGGGATCTTCGATTGTTTTGGGGAGATGACCACGGCACCGGCGAACGCGTTTGGGATTTCGAGCGGTGGTTTCGCGAATAGCCCTTTCTCTGCATGTTGTTTGAAAAATTTCTGTTCCTTCGAACGAGTTGCTGTTGCCCGTCGAGCTCGTCAAACATCGCTTGTGGATTATTATTATTATTGTAAGGAGGATTGATGATGTCGTCCGATGATGATAAATGGCGCATGAACTTGTTTGGGATCGTATTTCGAAACCTGGGGAAGTTTCGATTCTCTCTGTCTCCGGGAGAGAGTCTCCTCCTCAAGGACGTACGGCGTAATGTAAGGGAATTCGTCGTTCTTCGGCTTCCTTCTATCGGGAGTGTTGTTGTCGTTGTTGTCTTGTTGAATGTCATAGCCGTTGTTGCATTCGACCTCGACATCAGAGGCGTGATTGTGTTTGTGTTTGTGCCTGACGTGTCTGTAAGGAGCCTCTGATGCGAATTCGTGATCGGGAATGTCCCAGTCACCAGTTAAGGAGGCAAAACGGTTAGATATTCTCCCCCCTTGTTTGAGAAACTCGATCGTGGGTTCCTGTGTGGCTGATCCTGATCCTGGGTTCGATCTTTCATGAGTTTGTTCTTAGGGCTGCCAGTGTAGAATTCATCCCTGTGAATTCATCCCAGTCACCATGTAAGGCGGCAAAACGGTTAGATATTTTTGGCAGTATCGTGGTCGTCCAAAGATGCTTCCGCTTTTGACAAGGTCGATTATTGTTCTCTTCCCCTGAGAAGGCTTTTTTAACAACGTAGTTATCTGTATCTTCTAACTCAGCTGGTCCATGGATGGATAATTCTTTTGCAGGAAGATCTTCAAGCTGCTCATCTGGAGTGACATTTATAGTTTTCTTCTCATCTAGTCCTGCCTCCAACACTTCTGATGCTTTATTTAACGAGTTATATTCACCGTTGGGACCAACTCTATCATCATTTGAGGCGTCACAAGATCCCTGGTGATTTCTCTTTGCAGAAATATTTGTGTCAAATTCAGATGAATGATGAAGTCTTGATCACTCAAAGGCTGCAGATTTTGAGAATCATGCCTAAAATATTCAGAGTTGTCCATTTTCTTTTCAATGCTGGTCGGTCTGTCTGCATTTGGGCATTGAATTGGCTCTCGAACTCACCATCCTCGTACTCTTCATCTTCCTTGTTGTGTTTGTTTTCTCCTTTATCGATCGAGTTGTTGCAAATCCCCTAGGACCCACAGCCGGACTTAAGACACCCTTCTTCAGTCATTTTGGCTGGTTCGTTTAACTTTTCGTCATCATCTAATTCAAAGGTATCCTCATCCACCCGAGCCATTTTATGCTTGTTCTCAGAATTTTTACCGGAGTAGAATCGAAAGATTCTTTCCCGGGTCGTATCGCAAGGAAGGTTAGCCGGATACTCTTGTGCGTTTATTCAATCACAAAAAGAGAAGACAAATTCCTAAACACTCTAATTCAATATTTTTGAGTTTCAATTATCAACTATTGATTTAAACTAAATAAAATGAAAGTAAAATAGCAAATGAATTTACTGAATGATTAAAGTCCTAGAGAATCGGGATAATTGCTTTCGGTTCTAACACAATCACCGGCAATCGATTGCTCGATTAAAGGTCTTGAATCGTTTCTCGTTCAGAGGTTCACTCTCAATAACTCTTCGTAACAAGAAAGTGAATGTAAACGATCAACTATCAATTCCAACAACACATAGATAATATGTTTCCGAACAAATCTATTCTAAACGAGCCTAATTCGACCGTCTCCTCTCTCGGTTCTACACGTTGATTATCTAGGTTTAGAAAGGTGATCAATCTACTAACTCTATGATTCACACAACTCGAATAGATATGAACAATCAAAGGCATTCAATTATAACGAACCTAATCAATCATCTCTATCCCTAGCGAATGGATTTAGCTACTCATAACGAATTTAAAATCAACATTCATATAAACCCAAGTCATCATCATTAATAAAACAATTGAGAAAAATAACTTACGATTAATGATAAAAATCCAATGTCAAATCCAAAGCAACGAAAAGGAGTTTTCAATCTCCAAATCCAATCAAAATAGGAAAAACATGAAAAGGAATGAGTTTCTCTAGAAAAAAAGCGTAAAAAACAAAGTCTGGAAGTGAATAATAAACCCTAGGATCGAAATCTGCTCTAAAAATCCCGTCCTCAAAATTCGCGCCGAATAAGTCGCGAGTCGCGAGATAGTCTTTTCCTCGGTCGCGAGTTGCGACATCCTTGCGAGTCGCGCGTCTTCAAAATGTTAAACTTCTGGGGCTGGTCGCGACATAACTCGCGAGTCGCGACATATTCTCGCGAGTCGCGAAATTTTCTGGGAAGTGTTTCTGTCCGTTTGTCCGTTTTTTCAGTCCTTCCTCGAGTCTTCTGGGCTCGGCAACGGGTATTCTCGATATCACGGCCTCGGCTCAAGCAGTCCCAACCTCGACCGGCACAACCGACCTCCTGAAAACACAAACACAGAAAAACACAAAGCAAAACACGGCAAAAAGACACAAAAAATATAAACTAAGGAGAAAAACACAAAACGAACAAAATGGACCAAATAAACAACGAAAAACCTACAAATGGAGGAAAACAAAAAGAAAATAACCATGAAATAAAGACAAAAATGGGACAAACAGTGCTTCCCATGATCTACAGAACTCAAATTCCCTAAATCACGAGGCCTTCATATTTTGTCATCAGGGCAGCTTGGTGGTAACTCTTGACGATGTTCCAAAAGAGTCGACAAGTCTCCAGTTGGAATTGACTCTGAATAAGCTGGCAAACTCGAACTACACAAACTCTAAGGCATCAAGGGCACTGGCTCCAAATGAAAAGAAGTAGATGGACAGCTCTCTTGTATATTCTAAACCCTTGAAACAGATTGAGGCAGTGTAAATTAAACACCTTCAGGCTTCATTGATTTGCCAGAATAAATTAATGTATTCGGATTAGTAGATGGCTGCAGTGCAGATTCCACTCTGTGGTTATTGACAAATTCTGTTTTCACGGAACTCAACTTCAATAACCCCGTCACATTACTGCTGCTACTACTACCTACACTACAGTCAGGTTTGGTATTCTCTTTAACAGGTTCTGATTTCACGGGTTCGGTCATGTTCACTGCCGATATTTGCTCCCGTTGCAAACCTAAACTGCGAGTATCACTGGTGGAGACTGAGTTATCTGATAAAGAAGAATACTCTTTTCTAACATCCATCTCCCTATGCGGCATATCAAGTCTAAGACCGAGGGAATCATCAGTCTTGCATTGCTGGCTGGATTGTTGTATGGTTGAATTGGAAGAACTGGATCCACTAACATCCAGATTGCGTTCATTCCGGAGAAGGAACAGCAGATTCTTTCGATCCTAGTGACAGTTCAACACTCATAGAGGCCGTTGACAGTTCGAGTCCACAGATGCCTTCAGTTTTCTGCACACTGAAAGTTTCCTGCTTCACTTTCACAGTTTGAGAATGCGTACAGCCTTTGGGAACTTCAGGTTCTGGAGATTTTTCTTTAGGTAATATATCAATTTCAGCAATACTGTGGCCGACGGGATTGCTCACATCAGAATTCCCAGGAGAAGATGCATTTGTTGCATCAATCAAAGATAGCTTTTCTTCATCTTGAAATTTGGATTCTTGCTGGATCTTCGATTCATCTTTTTCAGAAATCTTGAGTTCTTTGATTCATTGTTTTCTGAAATCTTGGGTTCTTCCTCGTTCTTAGATTCGTTGTTTTCGCTGTCGGATATATTTTCTTGTAGAGGAGGAGGAGAAGGTGACCGGATTACAGGGAACCTTCTCTTCTTAATAGGAATAGCACTGGAAAAATTAAATATTTGTTGCTGCTGCTGCCCGGTTAGAGCCCCCGGCTGCGGATAAGAGCTCATTTAATCAACAAATTCCCAAATCCAAACACTTTTATAAGCACTTACAAATAACCTAAAGTCAGATGAAGAACCTCGGCGTTTCTTGTAATAGGCATGACTGAAAATAGGGTATCCCTGCAAAACTAGAAAGCTCAACACGTAAATACACAGCCTGGAAACTAAGATCAGCTAGCACTAAATATTAATAAATCTGTGAAGACTCCAAAAATGCATAAACAAGATAAAAATATCCGATCCATTGAGAAGATTAGCAAAAAATTAGCCAAAAAAATCTCCAAATCAAATCAGCATCAGCGGATGACAAACCTCACCCTGAACGACCATTTTTCAGCTTCTTTTTTCCAATTAAATAATTAGTCGAAATAAAATTTTACACGCCATACAACTAAATTAAAAGCTAAGAATTTTCCGGTAAATCCACAACCACAAGTTTCTCCGGAAAGCAACACACCAACCAANAGATCGGCCGACAAGCAACGACGGCGGCGGCGTTCGATTCAACATACGGAACAAAAAAAAACTCACACACACAAACATCCAACCATCCATATGATAAAGAAAATCTTTCGATTTAGAGCTGTGACAGGATATTACCTAGCTGAGTCTGGACGGAGAATGCCAGAAACAGATGACGGAAAGAAAAAAAATATAAATCTCTCACAAGGTTTTCTGGTGTGAGGAGAGAGAATGACAATGGAAAATGAAAGTGGAGGAGCGAGAAAGGGAGGAGCAGAAGAAAATGAAGACGAAGAACTTGAAGGTGGTTTCCAAGTGGCTACCATGGAAATCTATTACTATATAAAAAAGAGAAGAAAAAACATTTGAACAATCCAAAAAAAAAGTTTTCGTTTTCCCGCTCAAATATCAAGTTTTTGCCGCCTACACAAATTTTGTAAATTGTTTGAAATTGGAATTTTGCCGGCCATGCAATTCTCGGTTGGATTCCATGGAAATTTCATTTGAATTGTTTGATACATTCCGATATGTTTGTTAATTTGTTAAGGTGATAAGACTTATCAATATCCCATGCCATCCGCCCATAAAATCCGACCGCAACACTCAAAATGATTTATGTTATTTGATACAAGTTGTACATCCATAAAAATCACATCCATAAAAATCACATTCATAAATATCGGAATAATCTTTGATTGCCAACATTCCAAATAGAGTCCTCATTCTCCATACCTGCAAGAAAGAATTAATTTCCTACTTTAGTGGACTTGATATATGATACTGTTATTTGTTAATTTTCAATTACCTAATTTAGTGGATTTAAAAATATTGTGTACCACGTTCCTATAAGAAAATCGAATAATAACTTGATCGAATAATAATATTTTTAATATTATCAGATTTATTAAAGGTGCCAATTGATAAGAATCCTATACAATTTAATTTTCAAAATTAAATAACTTGATCGAATAATAATATTTTTAATATTATCAGATTTATAAAATGTGCCAATTGATAAGAATCCTATACAATTTAAATTTCTTATGTTCCCGAATTACTTATGTTAATTGATAATAGGATATTGGTATTTGTTAAATGTAAAACAAATTTACACGTGATTATTTCGAGCTATGCAGGATAGAAAATCGGGATTTTTGAGGTTAACTATACAATCACGTGTAAAACTAAATGATTTTGTTTAACACTTATCCAAATATTTTAGGCAGTAAGTATCACACAAAATCATAAAATATCTATTAAAATAAATTGTATATTTTTTGCTCACATATCTTCACTCTATATATACCCGTATGTAACAAACATTGAGAACACGCTCTCTTCAAAACTCACGAATCATCTCTCTCTTTTACCTTTCCCTTACAATTGAACATGGCTCCCGTTTTCGGTACTATTAAAGATCTCAAAAGAACCAATCGACCATTCATTAAGCTACGTGTTATTCGGATGTTCCAACGAGAGGAGGATCGTGGTTACAAAAATCCGCTTGAATTTATTATGCATGATTCTGAGGTACGTATTGGAAGATTTATTTATTAACTTTGTTATTTTGAAATTGTAATTTTACTCTCAACTTTGAATAATTGTTTGTTTCAATGATGTTAGGGAGGACGTATCAATGCTTTGGTCCGACCCATGCATATTTCTAAATTCATCAATGAAGTGGAAGAAGGGGTCGTGTATGTTCTCAAAAATTACCAAGTTGAGAGCAACACCGGCATTTACCAAACCACAATATGCACTTGGAGACTTGTGATCAACAAGGATACTAAATTTATCAAATGGCCCCATTCTTTCCCTACATTTCGTTTTATCTTTAGAGATTTTGCAACTCTAATGGATATCGACAACGTTGACGAAACAATGTTGTTTGGTAAGGGATTATTATTTATATTTATTCCGTTAAATTTTAAATTTTCTTTTGGTTGCTATGTTTTTAATTTCGTTTATTCGTGTACTTAATTTAATATTTTAAAAATTTAAAAATTCAATTATCGTATATGTGTTTATTAATATTATTATTATTATATTGTTTATTTATAGATGTTATTGGGGTGGTGGTTGAAATACAACCAATCCAAATGAAGACTGTGAAAGGGAAGCCAACTCAAATGATTGTTTTCTCCCTTATGAACTTGGAGTAAGTACATATAAAATTTTATAGTAATTCGTATTATATTAAATTGTATAAAATGATTGTTTGATCTCTTACCAATTATTTATTCTTGAATTTGAATTAATTTACTCGATTTATTTAGAGGGAAAAAGAAGAATTGTACCCTCTGGGGACAATATGTTGATCAACTAATTGCTATTGAGCATCATTACATGAATGAACAACAAGCTTTTGTCATAATCATGCAAATGTGTCGTGCCAAGGTGTTTGATGGTAATATTTTTTAACTTTACCATAATCATTTTCTTATTATAATTTTAATTTATAATCTCTTAATTAATTTATATAATTGTAGGTGAAGTGCGAATAAGCACATCAAAAGATGTTACTCTTCTCATTTGTGTGGATGTCCCCGAAATTCGTGAATATAGGAGGAGGTACCTTTTTTTCATTCGTGAATTATGTAGTAATTTATTAACGTAATTTATATATTATTTCTTTTTACGTAATTTATATATTATTAAGGTTGGCTGCGGGTAAATTGAGGAATACCCAATTGGTGTCGAATAGTTCCATTGTTGTCAAGACTGAACTTCAACAACTCGAGGACGGGGATATCATCGTTAGTACGGTTGATTCTTTACATGATTGTGTGGAGGTAATAAAACGTAAATTCATTACTAAAAAATATATATAATGAATTTCGGTTTTATAATACTTAATCGTATATTTGATTTGTCCATTGTAGTCTAAGGACATTTGGGTTTGTGCAACGATTGGTTCCATCATAGATGAATGGTGGTACTTGGCATGTATTCGATGTAGTAGTTCGATGGAGACTGATGGACACAATCATAAGTGTCGAAAGTGCACTCACAATCGTGGCATTTTTCGGTTTGTTTTTTATATTATACTAAATTTAAAATTTTAATTTTATGATTACTTTATGACATGATAATTTGAAAAAATTAGATATAAAATTCAAATGGATGTGTACGATGCTTCTGCGCATATGACTGTGGTTTGTTGGGATAAAGATTGTCAAAGGATGATTGGCAAACCTTGTGATATACTGAAGCGCGAATATGCCGAGAGGGAGGTAATTATCTCGAGTTTAACCAAAGATTTTTTTTTTATTTAACATTAGCATGATGTTTTTTAACTTCAAGTAAGCTGACATACAAAATTCTCTTCTATTGTTATAGAAGCAGGCTGTCTTTGATCTTCCTGACGATGTTGAAGATTTGGTTGGCAAGAAATATCTTTTCAAAATTCGCATTAAGCCTAATGATCGTTACAACTTTGCTTCTTCATTCAACGTGCTTAGGGTGGTAGTTGATGAAGACTTGGTCTCAAAGTATAACCAATGGGTTTATGAAGAAGATGTAAGTCTAACTACTTCAATCAACATTCTAATTCTTTTTATAATAAATACTAACGTTTTTTTTTTTTTTTTCCAATAGGACTCGGATTTTATGACTCTCTTGCTAAGAGAAGAAGACATTGCAAAAGAAGGGGTAAATTCAACTTATATAAAATTAACGTACATTATATTTTTGTAAATGTCAACATTTATTAAAATAAATTGTTTCAATTATTATAGGATGCCTCCTTGGAGGACGAGGTCTCCACTCCATTGAAGGTCAATAAAGAATGTGAGAAAGTTGACGACACATCAACTGCAAAGAGGAACTTGGGCGATCAATTTGCTTTTGAATCGGTCACAAGCAACAAGGGAAAAACGAAGGTTGATGAGGATGGAAATTTGCTCCCGACCAATGGGGAAGATGATAATTAGTGGATTGGGTTTTTAGATTAATAAGACATTTTTTTAAGATTATTAGATTGCTTTTATGGTTTTCAATTCGTATTTGGATATTTTATTGGTATTTAGTTATATAGGAGTAATGCTTTTCGAATTATGTCATGCTTTTCTCATGGATTTCTCTAGGGAACATATAGTTCCCAAGATTTCATGAATGATAATAAAATTTCTCAGTTGCTTTAAACTTGTGTTTAGTTATTTTCGATTTAATCAGTTAATTTTTTAATTTAACTAAAGAAAATTAATTAAACACAAATATGTAAATATTCCTATGTCCGATTAATTATAAAAATATTAATAAATCATTCAACTTATTACGTTAAGTTGGATTAAATATAAAAACATTAATAATTGAGATCAACGTGATATAGGGAATTTCAAATTGCAAAATATGTGAGTGTTTTACTTCATGGATTTTTGGAAACCTAATGTAATATAAAAAAAAATTAAAAAAAAAATATCTAACTCAATTCAACTTCTCATACCTTTCGAAAATTATTTTGAAATTGTAATATACAATCCTAAATCAAAAAGGATTCATATTTTAAATATATATTTAAGGTAAGATTATAGATCAATCAATTCAAATCTCATGAGATAAGTACAAATATTTATTGATATATCAAACGTGTTTTTAGACTTCTATATATACTCATAAAGTTTTCATCTATTTCTCCAATTCGTGTGGGTAAAAAAAGAACACAAAGACGTTCTTAAGAAAACATAAAAAAAAAAAACAATGCCGGCCGTTTTCGATACACTTCGTGCAGTCAATAGGGCCAACCGACCTTATTTAAAATTGAGAGTTGTTTTTATTGTAGAGGCTCAATTCGTCTTGGAGGACAAGAATCGTATTGAGATCTTATTTGAAGACCGAGAGGTATTATTTTCAATTGACATATAAAAATT